GATGCGGGACTCGATCCCGGGACTCCAGGATCATGACCTGAGCCGAAGGCAGTCGCTTAACCAACTGAGCCACCCAGGCGCCCCTCTTGCTATTATTTAGCCAAAAGATATGCATCAACAACCTGTCATAACCACTTTCCCAGCATCTGATGGCAGGGCCATCAGACAAAGAATACAAACCTGTTGGCAGTATATGAAAATGCTAAAGAACCCTAGGGTCAGCCAACAAAAAGCAAGAGCCTTCTGCCAACAGCCAGAAACCGGACTGCAACAAAATGCTGAGACTCCGTCAATTTCCTTTTACAACCTTTCCTACAGGAGAACAGAATTGCTGTTTGGGTCTAAAAACAGGAAGAAGAAAAGGATGCTCGACAGAGTGAGCAAGCTGCAGAAGAGAGCACAGTGGTGATCTATTAAGTCAGGGGAGCTGTGTTATATAAATTCAGCTTGTTCAGGTGCAGGCCTAGGAGCCAAATCACCAACCAGCCAAGCATGCTCAATTTCAGCAGCTACCTAATGTGCACAAGAGAACACTGTTAACACTGAAGAAAAAGTCCCCAATCACGACAGCCATTCCCAAAGGACTGTGCACCATAAACGGTTCTCTCTAGAACACTCTGACAAGGATATTAACTTTTCAAGTTCAGTTGATGAAGAAAATAGAATCAAACCCCTCACTTTCTATCCCCTGTTCCCTCATGAACATTCCTGAGGCAAAGAACTGTGATGTCAGTGCAGCTAACCTAAGCTCTGACACTTGCCATTACCTCTTGCTGCTTCTCCTCATTGGGGTACGTGTCTACAAATACTCCCAGCCCCACAAATTTGTCCATGTTTCCAAACACAGGCCCTAGAGAGAGAGAACAGATGATGAACAATGAAATAAAGCCAAGAGTTGATAAAGGAATAACACATCACTATGATGGAGGAAAAAGTAAAATTCAATTGACTCCCAGGCCTCTCTTTAAGATGAGAAAACATATGTAAAAGCACCCAGCGACGTGCAGGGCCTGTAACAAGCACCCAGTAAAGTGTGTAGCTGTTTGCTGTTGAAGGCAGGGGAAGAGAGAAGTCCACTGCAACGCTGTTTAACACTACAGCTGTTCCCTGGTCCAAACCGATTGCTAAGGCGCCCCGTAAGAATTCTGCTTCACGAACGCCTGGTGACAACTATGCCCCTGAGAGAGAGCTGAATTCCCAAGCTCCACTTCTCGTTGCAAAAGAGATCAGGTCAAATCAGGTTGAGTTTGCCACGTCCTCGGAGCAACGGCCCCCGGGCAACTCCTGACTCAAGGAGTTCTGAGACCGTTCACTGCGCATGCTCAGAAGAAGTCAGTTCACCCAATCACCGTTGTTCCGGAGAGCCAGTACTTTCACCCAGCCGACAGGCCCCTCTGGCCTCAAAGGGAAACCGGAAGGAACTAATAAGCAAGATCTCGCCCCAGGATGAGTCAAGTTCAGACCCCATTCTAGAGACGAGACAGGCTGGTCTTCATCCGCAGACATCAAGGGAGTGGGAGAACTGCTGGCACTGTGGGGACGGATGCTTCTCAAAAAGAGGGCACATGAGAAAGCAGGCCTGTCGCACCCCACACAAGAGCACCCGGGGTCCCAATACCTGGCTGCATCCGATCCTTCGTGTACCAGATTGCCAAACCATCCCCATGCAGATTCTTCTTCCCTTGTCCGTGGATTTTGAAGTGTACCTGCAACTCCCAGTCTCTGAGGAAGCATGGCTAGGGTGAAAAAGACACTGGGATCAGTGAAGAGCATGAAACGTGAAATCCCCCTCAAGCCCTCATAGCGGTCTAGAGACTTGGAAAACCTAAGTTCAGGTAACACGACGCGAAGGGTTGAAACTGAAATCTAGGACTTGCTGAGTGTTTGTGTCATAAAATTAAACAGGTTGAGCTGTCCAGCTGCATATGATATTTAATATGAAAAGTGAATAAGCCTCCCAATGATCTTCAATATCTCCCACAGAAACAGGACAGTACTCCAAAGCTGGAAAAGACAAGAGACTGCTAAATTAGACTCCTGTGATCTCACAGGAAAGCCTCTCAGCCTATAGAGTACAGGTGGCTGAATTAACACTCATTTGCAACTTCCAGATCACCCCTCTGACAGATTCTAAAAAGCCTGGATTTCAAGAAAGGTCAAAGCCTCATTCATTACAAAAGAATTAAAAAAAAAAAAAAGAAAAAGAAAGAAAGAAAAGCTAAGTCATTATGCAAAGGTTTCCAGGAATAATTAGCAGATGTGTAAACAACTCTAATTAGCTAGAATTGACCCTATGCCAAGCTAAGGAGCAAGCCAGAATTCCCCAAGAAGGGGAAAGTTACAGTCCCCCAAAACCTCATGCCCATGGCCAAGAAGCATAAATGCACCAAAGGAGAACACCACCATTCCCATCACAGGGACAGCCTCTGCTGGAAAAACATTAAGGAGGTGGGTACTAATCAGACTCCTGTGTTTGTTCTTTGGGGTTTTTTCTTTAACTGTGTATCAAAAGCTTGGAAAAATGGAGAAGGAGGTAAGTGGATGGTTAAGTGCTCTAAATAGCTGAACACTTTCAGGGAGAGAGGAGAGTAGGTATCTGGCTTAGAGAGGCTCCTGATTAAAGGTCACTATGAAGAAAGAAGGGAATGAGGAGCATATAGGCCAACAGGATTCACCCAGAATCTTTAACAGATTGTTCCAGCTCCTGAGCAACATATTGCTAGATCATTTCTGGGAAATCTCCCAGAAGTGTTAGTATTAGGAACCCAAAGTCAAAAGAAAGGGGTGAAGTTACTTCTGACTTCACCAAAGAACCCCGCAGTCTCTGATAGCTTACCCTACCCTGAGGAGCCCAGTCCCTGTGTTGTCATTCTGGGTTCTCCTCTTTCTACTGTTTCACTTAGATTTCAGGACAAGAGTGAACTTCCGTGGCAGGAAGCTGCCCCACAGCCAGTGGGTAGGTATTATTGCCCCTGGGATGAGGCCAGGGCCGGAGAGGTTCGCACTGAGCCAAGGGGTGTCTGCCACTTATCCTTGGCCTTCCAGAGCCGTACGCCTTTGCTCAGGGCTATGTCTCACAGAGCTTCTGAGACTTGGCTGTACATAAGAGTCACCTAGGGAGTTTTTAAAAATCCCCATGACCACAGGCATTAACTCCAATGGACAGCCAAATTTGAGAACCACATCCTATTCAAATAACTCAGAAACAACTCCAAAGCTCATTCTGATAGTCAGACGACAATAACAACAACAAAAATACAGTATCAGAGAATCTGAAAAAGGGCAGGATAACTAGATCCTAAACTAGAACCGCTGCTAAAAGAGTTATGTAGAGACAGCTAGCAAGACAGCAGCAAAGCATCTAGCCCTGGACATAATCATTTACTAACCAGAGACCCCCATCAATGAAACTTATAACAGATGCATAATGCAACAACACACACTTCTGTAACCATTTTAACTTTCCAAAGCTTTTCATGTCTATTGTCTTATTTTCACAATAACCCTAGTGAGCACGTAGAAGGTATTACAAAGTTCATTTGGCAGATGGAGAAACTGAGCAATGAGAAAATTAAGTAACAGCGAGGGTTCACAGTGGGTCGGTGATACAGCGAGATCTAGAACCCAAGTCTGTCAACTGCCAGCCCCTTTGCCTGTTCTACCAGAACACACCGCCCTGTACTCTGTCCAAGAATGAGTTCAACACTACAATCTGGGTTAAGAAGCCAGCTTGCACAAATAGCTCATGTAGACACTTCTCTTACCCCTCTGTTCTGTTAGAATTCTCTGCCACATAAAATGAACAGGGAAAAGAAATTGTTCTCTTTGCTGAGGTTCACTTATCTATGACCATGAAAAGCTGTAAATCAAAAACCATGAAAAAGTTTAGTTCTTAGCTTATGAGAACCCAAGAGAAAGTATTAAAGGATGATAAGGTCATTCCCAAAAGTAAAGTGGTTGTAGAAGATTTAGAAAGAGCCCTGGAAACCAAAAAGAAAGCATCATCTTACACTTGTACAAAATCACAGGGCAGCCACACCAGGAATACTGCATTCACTTCTTGCCGCCATACCTCAAGGAAGACAATGTAGCTAGAAAAGGTCCAGAGAAGGACAAATAAAATGACCAAGGGGCTCAAAGTGGCTTTCACATGAAAATAAAATTTAAAATTAGACTCTTCAAAGTGAAATAACAAGGGCAGATACTGGGATGAAGTTTAGGATAAATTTACAAGAGCAGTCTTCCACTTTACAAAATAATTAAATGTGAGTTAAATTGTTAACCTCCAAGAATACTACCAGGTCAATCAGGAATTAAAGACATTTCATTTTTTTTTAAAGATTTTTTATTTATTTATTTGACAGAGAGAGAGAGAGACAGCAAGAGAGGGAACACAAGCAGGGGGAGTGGGGGAGGGAGAAGCAGACTTCCCGCTGAACAGGGAGCCCGATGCGGGGCTCGAACCCAGGACCCCGGGATCATGACTGGAGCCAAAGGCAGACGCTCAACCGACTGAGCCACCCAGGCGCCCCTAAAGACATCTCAGAAAACACAGTGGGTGTTGAAAACAACTGGGTGGCTCAGTTGGTTAAGCATCTGCCTTCAGCTGGGGTCGTGGTCCCAGGGTGCTGTCCCGCATCGGGCTCCCTGCTCGGCGGAAAGCCTGCTTCTCCCTCTCCCACTATCGATCCCCCTGCTTGTGCTCTCTCATTCTCTATCAAATAAATAAATAAAGTCTTTAAAAAAAAGATGTTTCAGAAAACACAATCAAAATGGATTATTTGCTATAACTGGAGCAATCGAGAGCATTTCCCTACATATCTGATTTCACTATGAAGGTCATCATATTCTCTGAAATGAAAATCCTTGATATCCACAGAAGACAGAGCACTGGGGATAAACAGTAAAATAGCCACTGGTAAACTTTTTAGGGCTTTTTGGGTCACCAACACAGGAGGGAGAAAGATTCTTACCACCCGGTTCCACAGGGCACCCTGTTTACTTTGCATATCTGGGGTAAGGCGGATATACTGGGTCATCACCATGGCATTGCCCATCAGATTCCACAGTGAGGAACTGCCTGTGCCCACACCTACGGGGAGGAAGTAGATCAGTTCACACTCTTCAACACCAACCCATTCCGAAACCACCACGGACCCTCCTAAAGCTGGAGTCATCATCTTTCTCTCCCTTTCACGACACTCGATCTCCTACCTTCTGTCTTTCATAAATCTCAAATCTTTACCATCTTGACAGCTTTCTTTTACAAAGCCCTTCTCAGATGAAGACCCCAGAGCACATCAGAGCTATCACTTTATCCATGCCTCAATAACCATAGCTCAGATCCATTCTTCCCATTTTATATGTAAATTTTAGCACCAGAAAAGAAAAAAATTTCCCCAGTTCTACCAAAAAGAGCTTGACTCTCAGGCCTCTGGGGCTTAATCACATTCTTTCTTTAAACAATTCAAGTGTGAAGGTACTTCTCCCAGTACCAATAGAGGCTATAAGCCTCTTGCAAGTGAGAACTTTGTGTCTGTACAATCCACAGTAATAGCAGAGACAGCATGGATGAGGCACTGGATATATCTGCTGAGGGAATAAATGATCACCCTTAGCAGCCGTGTATATACGCTCTTGCACTTTGAGTTTGTATTTGTCCGCTGTCCCACACTCCAGTGGGGAAACAGACTTGTGTTGAGTTAAGCCATCTGCACTGATTTGGTCCTCTCTGTAGCTAACTATATAAATTTTCTGGTCAATAAGCCGTGCCTAAGAGCCTATGAACCCTAAACAGAGCAAAGCTAACCAGCCTCCTTCATCAACAGGGCTCCTGAACTGGAAAACAGGTGTTTTAACCGGCAACAGAATTTTATCTTCTTTCTCAGTCCGGCCAAGTTCTACCCCAGTTCTGCCTCCTGCTTCATTTCTAGCACATCCATAGCTCCATCGGGAGACCGGCTCTTTGCCAGTGGCCTTCAATCACTACCCACCATTTGCAGCTCTATCCCTTCCCACATCCCTCCTGTCCAACTCGAGCTCCTCTTTGTCCAGGCCTAACGCTAGTGGCATCCGAGCCCGGCTTCGACCTGCTGGAAACTTCCAAAACGGGGGGCGGGGAAGAGCTGACCCCTGCCCTTTGGACCCGTGGCTCCCAAACGCGGCGTTCCTCGTGGGCCCCCACCCACCGCCCGCAGTTTCCTTAGGGCCACGAAGCCTTTCGCCACCCCCGGTCTCTACCGCTGAGCTCAGGTCCCGGAGCCCTCCCCGTGCACGACCACCTCGCCCCGGGCGCCTCACCCTGGTAGGGCTTCGACAGCGAGTGCTCCCGTTTCAAGTACTCGAACGTTTGACCCGCCCCGACTTGCCGTGGCCCCTGCCCAGATCCCAACAAAAGGAGAAGGAGCAACATCGTGGACCCATTCCGTGCCGACACACGCCGCCGCCACCGCTGCCACCACCCAGAGGATCCCAGAGTCGCCGCCATCTTTCCCACTGCCGTCCCTTCATTAAAAGCCCGCCCCGTAGCCCTAATCATTAGCCCAGAGAACCATCTGCCCCGGGTCCCATTGGCTTTCCCCGAGCCCCCGCCCCCGCAGGTGAGCATCTCACCGATTGGCTGGCTTCGGTATCAGTTGCCTTGCCAACCCAGGAAAGGGGCGTGGCCTAATGCCTGGCCTCCTTTATTTGCATTTGTCCTCACTCCACTAGGCTTGCTGGGAGACGTAGTGATTTCCATTTTGTCTCTGCGTTCTAGAGTAAATTTAAAGAGATAAAAATGTTGGGGTTCCTGGGCGGCTCAGTCCTTAAGCGTCTGCCTTC